CGGACGCGGGGGGGTTGGCGAGGTTGGTCCAGCGGGTTGTGTCTGTGGCGTCGCCCTTGGTCCAGGAGCTGTGGGCGGTGCGAATTCGAATTTACGCGGCGAAAAAAAAAAGGCTACGAAAACGGCGCGCAGTCTTGGATTCGAATTTCGAAATTCGAATCCCAGTCAGCGAATGACGGCGGCGCATGTGTCCCTTACGGCTGACGGCAGCAACGTTCGTCGGCGAGACTGTTTCGGTACGGGGTGGCGACTTTGTGGCGTCTGCTGGCACGCCGAACGTCCATGAGTACGCCCGAAGCAGCACGGCCGCCGTCACACGATCGCCAACGTTGTGTGCTTCGCTACGCGCACCTTCGCCGTTGACGTGCACGCCGTACAGTCGCGTTTTCACGAAGCGCCATCGCTGTTGTTTCCACTGAAGTCGAGCCTTGTTCTGTTGGCGAGGACGAGCGATGGACGTGGACGGGGATGCGGTTCATGACACACTCAACAAGGCGGAGAGGGCGGCTGTGGCAGCGGCCGTGAACATGATACTCATCAGGTGTCAATTGCAGAGGACGGAGGGGAGGATGAGAAAAACCATTCGCGCACGCCGGAAGAAGACGCTGCAGTCCATTCATGTGGACGAAGAGGGCAGCGGTGCCATTTGTGACGCTGTCCTTCAGGTGTGCTATGCCATGGGGTGTGGAGCGTTTCCCAGAGCGACGCCGAGGCGGTGGATGAAGCGTCCAACAAGGGGGGTGTGGGAGGATCTGCGGCAATGCGACCACGCGATGGAAGACTACTTCAAGGACAAGTTGCGCATGTCGCCACGGGTGTTCCGGGAGATAGCGGAAACTCTGTCTCCCTTCCTTCAATTACGTGTCACGTTTTATAGGTAGCCCCTCCAGCCTGACCTCATCGTAGCGTTCGCTTTGTACAAATGGAAGTTGGGGGAGACGTACGAGAGCGGGACGTGCAGCTTCGGGGCAGAAAGTCTGGGTTGGTGGCTGTGCGGGATGTTTCTTCGGCGTTGCTGAGTGCGTACCGCGACAAGATATCGTGGCCAACGGGGCTGCAAAAGGCGGTCGTCTTGCGCGCTTTCGCTGACAAGGGTTTCCCCAACTGCCATGGCTGCATAGATTGTACCCACATCTTCATCGACAAGCCAGCCAATTGCCCCGGAGAGGACTACTACGACACAAAA